GAGCGGCCGCCCCTGGGCCTGGAGAGTGGTGACCCGGTGGGGTTGGGTGCCCAGCCCCCAGGGCGGGCTTGGGGTCCAAGGCCAAGAGCTGGGTGCAGGCACTGTGGAGGAGGACCTGGAGGCCTCCCGGGCCACTAGGAGAAGACTGCTGCTGGGCCAGCCCGAGGGGACAAGGGGACCCCAGTATTGGAGTGGGAACCTAATTTTGGAGTGGCCACGGCATGGGTGGGTGTAGAAGTCATGCGATTTTGAGGTGGCAGAAGCCATCAGTTCCTACAGGGTGACACTAAGGAGTAGGATTTGGTGGGCTCCAGGTGCTGTGGTGGCCTTCAGTGCCAGGTGAGGACTTTGGGAGCAGCGGCATCCCAGAGCCCAGTGCCCTGGGAGCTTGGACCTGGGTTGGCGCTAAGGAAGGTCTGTGTGATGGCCGGTCCCTGCCTGCCTTCCTTCACAGCCTGGAGCTGCAGCCGTGTTCCTGTGGGGAGTAGGCTGGGCCTCCCGGCGACACAGGGTATCCACCAGGGGCAGGAGGGACACGACCATGGCTGACTGCAGCAGCAGTCTCTGTCAGGGAGCCTTCTCTGCCTCCCTGTTGCCATAGTGACAGCCTATTGATAGTGTATTTATAGGGGAAGAAGCAGGTCTTAGCAGCGGCAGTGGTGGTGGCGGCAGTGGTGGTGGCGGAAGCAGCTACGATGGCTAATGGGCGGGCCGTGCCAGGTGAGCTGCTGGAACAGGGGGCGCTCCTGTCTTGTTGGGAGCTTACCAGTGAACTCATGACTGCCACAGGAGTCAGGCAGGTGTCAGAATCACCCCCACTGGGGCAGTGACATATGTGGGTGTGCATGCATGCACCAAGGTCAGGGTGTGTGGGACAGAAGGTGGCTATGTTTAACCTGTTAGGTGATTTTTTTCCATGTAAAAATTAAAAAAAAAAAAAAAGAAAAAACCAACCCTGCAATTCTCTTCAGTAAACAAGGGGACAAGTATTTGCTGCCTTCCCTTATCGGTAAAGCTTTTTCTGCCATCGACGAGTTGTCGAAACACGCACACAGCGGTTGTTTTTGGCGGGAATTATTGTGAGACTCAAAAAAGAGAGGCCTCAAGACGCTGTGCTGCCCCAGAAGGATGTTGATCTGGCTGTTTCCCCTTTCACTTCAAATTGAGTTATGATTTGTGTCCTACCTGTTTGCCAAAAGGGTTAGAAGACATTTGATGGAATATGCAATAAGACTCTTAAAACACAGCAAGAAAAATGGAGACCGTGGCAGTGGAGAGAAGTGTCATTAGCAGCTGGCCTTCCAGGCTCCTGTGCGTGACCGTAAATGCCGGTGTTAGTGCTGAACTTCCTGGCAGCCTGGGCCAGAAGGCTACTGCAGCGGGTTATGCTGTGCGTGTGTCCTGCATCCAGTTAGCCAAGAAACCACAGCTCCCGCTTGGAATGGGGAGAAGTGGGGAGGATTGCTCCCAGATATGGACGGTACGGCCAGTGCTCAGGAATATACATGTGAGTGGGAGCGTGCTGCAGGGCTGACAGGACGCTGTGCCCTGTCATCCTTCCGGCGGGATAGCCCTTGAGCAGAAGACAGGCTTTTGAACCACAGCTTCCATTTCAGGTGATGCTTCTTGGTGCTGATTGTTTAAATCAGTGTCTGGATGCTTGGCTGTAGCGCTCCGGCAGCGACAGGAGAGTTGCCTGTTTTCGGAAGGTGCCAGGTGTCCTGCCACCTTGTCTGGGGAGTGTGGACACAGTAGGTCACCTGGGCTTGCTTGGGCCTAGTGGCTTTGGGCGAGTTGAGTAAGAAGGTGACTGTGCTGTGTGCTCACACGTTTCTCTGATCCCAGCTAGGCTGTGACTTTTGAAATGACAGTGGTAGCTGTTTCTTAGTCATGTGCTGCCTTTTATCAAGAACTGCACTTGTCGCTTGTCGTTAGAGGGATCTGGGACTTGTCGTCAGGATCAAAGTTAGTTTGGAACTCAGGTCTTGTCTCTGTCACTGTTGATTGGCATGACCTTATCTAAGTCCCCTGTCTCTGTGGGTGTCATGTCCTCATCTGTCTCTAAGGTCCTTCTCAACTTGAAGCGTCTTGAGGAGGCAAGGGAGGAGGAGCCCTGCGGGAGTTTGTTCTTGTTAACCCTTGGGTAATCTGCAGGGTTGGAATACGCTCTTGCGGACATGTCGGGGAGGTTTACTTTGGGCTCTGCTGGGCCGCAGGGAGCCCCTACGGAGGAGCTGGAGAAAGAATGAGGCACACAGAGCTATGAGTGGCTGCTGGGAGGTGCCGTTTGACGGTTGCACCCAGGCCAGAGGGGCAGGCACATCCCAGGACAAGCAGGCGTCCCGGAAGGTTCGGCCTGTGATTTCACCACGACTTTGCTTTTCTCCTTCACCAGGCAACTGACATGCTGGATCTGAGGGAGCACCATGGCTGGTGAGTTTTCCAGGCCACAGGTAGGGGCTCATGGGAAAGCTTGCCTCTCCCCGGGGGGGCAGTGCCCGATTGGCTAGGTAGCTCCTCTCCCATCCCAGGCCACTGGGAGAGACACTGACATAACAAGCTGTAAGCACAAAGCGGGTGGTTGCCATGAGAAGTAGGCAGCACCTCCATCGAGGTGAATAGAGGAGCCAGGGTTACCTCTTCTTTCACCCTCCAAAGTCTCAGCTCAGGCTCATGGGAGGCACAGCCCATCCACCCCAGCAGCCCACTGTAGCTGGGATTCTCCCTTTGGGATAAGTAGGATGGCCACCACCCAAAGACAGTTATGCACAAAGGATCTGTGCCCAGTCTACAAGGACTTGAGACCCTCCAAACAGATCTGCTTTGTGTCCAGAAGAGCTCTCAGGTCCATTGTTCCCAGTCTTCTGATTTATATACCACACTGTCTTTGGCAAGGCTATTGCTGCCGAGGCAATAGGTGGTCACTCGGGTGGAGGGAGGCCAGCCTGGTAAAGTCCTATGGATCTAGCTGACTTTGGCCCCACCAGCAGACACCTCAAAGGAGAATAAGTTCTACAAACTAAGGGCTTCGTTTTGTTTTTCTGGAGGTGGTGCAGAGGCCACTGGGCACTTACTCATCCATGGCGTCAGTGGTCAAAATCGTGCCCAGTGCACCAAGGCTGCATGCATTCCCTGCTCAGTTGGTTCTCCGTGTCCTAGCCACTTAGAGACCTGACCCTCTCTCAGGAGTCCCTGTGTGCTGCTAACAGTTCATGTGCTCTTCCAGTCCACCTGGAGGCCGCAACCTACTTCAAAAGGTCCAAACAACAACAACAACAAAAAAAAAAAAAACCCCAAACTCACTGCCGTCGAGTTGATTCAACTCATAGTGACCCTTCTTCCTTGGGTTTCCGAGGTGGCATCTCTATGGAAGCGCATTGCCCATTCTTCCTTTCAGCCTTGGAAATGCTGTGGAGCAGTTCTATTGCTGGAGTCACCATGGACACCTTGAGGCAACTGGTTTGGTTTGGTCTGGACCCTTGATAGGTCCATGATATTACCATGGTATCATAGGAAGTCAGCTCCAGCCACGTGTGCGGCTGCTCACTCCTTTGGCTTCATGCAGTGGTGTTACAATGGGGGCATGGTCTGCACCAGGGGACACTTTCAGACAGGGTGATGCTGAAATGACTGTCTATAAAATGTTTGTGTAGTGTTTCATCAGAAATTTATTTTTAATAAAAAAAACATCCCCACAGTTAGTTATAACAACAACAACAACAACAAACATTTTTCTTAAGCTCAGCTGGTATGTATGAAAACTACATACTAGAGGCTAAAACTATGATAATTTACTTTTGGAATCTTCTGATGTGCTCCAGTCAGCACTGTCATTATGATCCAATACAAAGGCCCTTAGAATCGTGTGGTTTCGTCTGCACGCGTTACAAGTATACACTCTTCTCTTCATTGCTGCTTATGTTTTTGTGGTGTTGTTGTTGTTAGGGGCTGTCAAGTTGGCTCCAACTCACAGCGACCCTGTGCACAACAGAATAAAACCCTGCCCGGGCCTGTGCCAGCCCCACAATCCCTGCTATACCTGAGCCCATCATCGCAGCCACCGTGTCAATCCGTCTTGTTGAAGGCCTCCCCCTCTTTCGTCGACCCTCCACCCTACCAAGCATGACGTCCTTCTCCAGGGAATGGTCCCTACTGGCAACATGACCAAATTAGGTGAGACGAAGTCGGGCCATTCTCGCTTCCAAGGAGCATTCCGGCTGCACTTCATCCAGGACAGATCTGTTCATTCTTTTAGCAGTCCATGGTACTTTTATAGTCACTGATTTTGTCAAATTTTCTGGTGTCTTAGGTACCATATTGTGGTAATTAGTATTTGTGAACCTGTATCAACAACTTTTTGAAAATGAAGTAGTAATGAAAGGAAAAGGAGGAAAAAATAAAATTCAAAGAAGACTTCCTTTCGCTCAGTTACTAGTAATATCCTAACTAATAATGTTGTCATTCAGTGTAAAAGACTTTATAAAGCAGTTTTGTTAGTATTCATATAACCTACAAAAGATTCCATTTAAGCTGTTTACAAAGATATTTATCACATATTATTTTATGATTAAAATCGACAGTAAACATTCCTAAGGATTCTGTATGGTCTGGTACGAGAAGAGACTCATGGGGGGTGTGTGTTGACACCATGAGTTACTGCACTGGGTGACACCAGTCCTAGTGACGTCGCTTGGCCTCATGCCCTCCTATTCATTGTTGGGCCCCACCTGAGTCCTTGACCCCAGCCTCAGTGCACTCTCTCTTCAGTGTTTCTGGAGGCCAGGAACGCCCGCTCTGTCCTGAAGCACTTTCCTCACGCCAATGAGTTCGTGGAGGAGCTGCGCCAGGGCACCATCGAGCACGAGTGCATGGAAGAGATCTGCAGCTACGAGGAGGTCAAGGTGCTTGAGGACAAAGAGCAGATGGCACGTAGCAGCCTGGGGCTGGGGGCTGGGAGCAGTGTCAGCCTCGGGATTCCAAGGACAGGGCCTGACTCTCACCCAACTGGGGAGTGTTGAAGGGAAACCATGGAAGAGGAGAGGGATGTCCTTACTCTTCCATCTATCTGCCCTTTGTCCTTTGGGACTCCCTGAGGATGGTCAGGTGTGGAAGGGTGGGCAGCAGAGCTAAGGCCTGCAGAATCTCAGACTGGCTTTGCTGAGGGCCTCTGAGGCCCACCTAGGACATGGGCACTTGGGGAGCCTCTCACTGCGCCCATCTTCTCCAGGTGCCAGTGCCCTTTGCTCTTCTTTTACAGATGGAGTTCTGGAAGGGGCACCCAAACGTAGTCTACACCGTCCGGGACCTGGTGCAGAGCTCAGACACCATGTATGTGGTGGTGCCCCTTCTGGGAGTGGCACTGCTGATTGTCATTGCCTTGTTCATCATCTGGAGGTGCCAGCTGCAGAAGGCCGTCCACCGTCACCCCGCCTACGCTCAGAACTGGTACCTTGCCAGTCGCATCGGGCACAGCCTCCCCTGGGTTATGGTGTACCACGGCTCAGTGCATGGCCCAGATGAGTCCTCTGGGCCCCGGGGGGCAGGGAGCAACCCACAGATGGTGCTGGGGCCCAGTCGAGGGGCTAGGACCACTGTCCAGCTTGAGAGCACCCCCTATCCCCCCGAGCTCTCCCTCTCCAGACTGGCCAATGCCACCCCACCCCCCACGTATGAGGAGGTGACGGCTCCACAGGGGAACAGCAGTGTGGAGGCCAGCATTTCTTACAGCGACCCGCCCCCAGAGTATGAGGACATAGTGGCTGCCACCCCTAGCTCAGACAAGGAGCGTCCTTGGGGGGAAGCCTCCTTTGGGGGTCTTTGATTTTCTTTTTGACATTTTTAAGACTGTGCCACCACAAAACAGCCTTAACCTCCTTGTTGCCAAATAATTCCGTAATATTGGTTTTGTCAGAAGCGAATTGGCAGTGACAGGATGGGGAAGGTCGTGGCTAGAGATAGTGCATGAGTCAAAGTCCCCAGCTCTTCGGGATGCCCCCACACCCCCAGTGTCCTGGGCCTCTGTCCGGGGCACGCTTCTCTTATGCCAAAGGAATCTTTGTGGCCCAAAGTCCACAGGCTCGGACCCGGGGCTGATGGGCTGGAGGGAAAGCTATCTGGGTGTGGAATCCCAGGCCTTCAGCGCCTCTCCTCCACAGCAGTCCTGTGCTTTCTGTCCCGGATGTACTTTTGAGGACAGGGACTAGGAATGGGGAGAAAACAAGAGGAAAAAAGAAAACAGCAATGATGAAAGCAATGAGGACAACACCAAAACCATCCGGGCCGCTCAGAGGGGCCTCGTCGACAGCCAGCTCCGCTCTGACCGGGCGAAGAGAAGCGTTCTCCCTGAACGCTCAGGGTGTGGAGGTCAAGGGCAAGAGCCCCCGGCCTCCAGACTGAGCAGGGGCCGCCCTGGAGGGCAGCTCTGGATGGCAGGGCTGGACCCGAGTGCTTGGTCATGGGGAAAGCCCCCTCGCTGAGCCTGTCCGCAGGGCCCACGGCCTCCAGCGATGCACCCAGCTGCAGTCAGTGTGCGAGGCTTGCCCTGACTTGGCCCCTGCTCTTTGCCCTGTCCTCGCAGGACCAACTTGCCTGATACCTGACTCTGATGATTTCTTCATCATGGTGCCCAGCTGGGGAGAAGAGCCAAAAGTATTTTAAGGAGTTTCTTATTCCTTTGTGGGGAGGTACAGCGAGCCCAAGAGCTGGGGAGGAAGGCCCATTCAGGGTGTGTTCTGCCCCTGCCGGGGGTGGGGCTGTTCTCAGGACCCCATCTCTGGGGTCCAGGAGCAGTCTGTGACACAGGACACTGACGACACTGCTCCGCACTCCGCCTCCATCTTCCCGGCCTCGGTGCCGATCTGTTTTCCCTCTGTGGTGCTTTACACAACGTAGCAAATTGAAGAGGGCCCAGCCAGGGGCTGCTGGCAAGCATGGCAGTTTAACTCGACAAGTTTCTTGTGGTTAAATGGCTCCCCAAGTCATTGAATGCAGCCCCGTCTTGGGACCCCAGATGATTTCTGGAGAGCCCTGTGATTGTGGGGCCTTGCCATGGGACGTGTTTAAAGTCAGGGGGCTTGTGTTCCTATCCCAGCAAGGGCCCCACCATGGACGACTTGGCCCTGTGGCTGGGGGCCTCCTTCCCCTACCTCACTGGCCTGTAAAGTGCTTGAGGCACCAGAGAACCCGTGAGCTATGCCCTTAGGAAGATTCTTCTAGAAATGCGCAGGTTGTAGGGGACCAGTCTTAGCCGAGACCCTCATATGCCTCTGAGGAAGTTGAGGGGCCCCAAGAGGAACATGTTGTTGTTGTTGTTATGTGCCATCGAGTCGGACCCGACTCATAGCGACCCCTCCTTGGGTTTCCAAGGCAGTATCACTACGGAAGTAGATTGCCCCATCTTCCTTCCGAGGAGTGGCTGGTGGGTTTGAACCGCCAGCCTTCTGGTTAGCAGGCAAGTGCCTTTAGCCACTATGCTACCAGAGCTCCCCATACTGAGTCTCAACCTGGGGAGCAATATCCTGCCAGTTGACCTCTTCAGGGCCCGCCTCCATGAGGTCTCCTTAATGCCGTGGGCGGTGACCAGGGGGCATTTCAGCTGGCCTTCCTGCCTGTCCCTTTCCTGGGATTCTAACATTGCACTCAGGCTCTTTGCCAAGTGCCCAGAAGGCTTGGAGCTGGGCAGAGATGGTAGTTCAGGAAGCAGGTGCCCGGGCAACGGCCTGTCGAGCGCAGCTCTGTGTCCTTCAGGGGCTGGGTGTAGACCTGGGGGAAGACCCTGGCCACTGGGGCTCTGGTCTCGGTCAGTGCTGGACAGCCGCTCTGTGAGGTGGATTGAGGCTGCAGTTTCTGGGACGTTTAGACGCACACTGTAGGAAAAAGGCTGTACAGCGCGCCGTGGGCACGACTGTGTGGACGAAGAGCGCCCTGTACATACTTTTCCAACTCTGTCTTTGCATGGCCGGGGATTTGATACAATGTTAACTCTTCAGTAGAGACATTCTGGTTGTCTGGGGGGCAATGTGCATTTGTGCTTATCTGAAACAATAGCCAGTGAGCTGTTTGTGTGTGGGAGTGGGTGTCACCTCCTGGAGCAAGGGAAACCGAGGTTAGCTGGTGGAGGCCTACAAAGCTGCCACCTCCTACCCCTGTGAAGGTGGCTTTGGAAGAAGCTATGGCAGTGGCATCCTGGGGACCTCTGATCTGTGAGACCCCCACTGCCATCCCTTTTGGCACGGTGCTCCTGCCTTCGGCTCTGTTCCCCTGAGCACGCCTTTTTTCGTGTGTGCAAAGATGTGTGATCATTGACGTTGGCAATGGTGGGGGTAGCTATTTAGATAATTTTCATTTTTTTAAAAAAAGAAACGTCTTAAAAAAAATTCCTTGAAATAGGACTGTCACTTGTTTTAAACCAGAAACCTTTAAAGACTTTTTAAAACAAGGACCGCCCTCATGGCCCTGTCCCTGTGCCCCTCACCTCAGGGTTTCCACAAGGGAAGGCGCCATGGGCACAGGTACCAACGAGAACTCCATTGCCACTCATGTGAACTCGGTTGGGAAACCAGGAATCAGCCTGATTTGTTGGACACTGTTGTCTTCTTGTGGCCTAAAGGGGGGCTTCTGGCAGGACAGTGTCCTTTTGTGAAATGTTGCCTCTCCTGGTGGGAGGGGGGACTCCTAGCCCTAAACCCCAGGCAGAGCAGACCTTTGCCCCAAATGGCATCCCACAAGATTAAAAAAACCAAACCAAACCACTGCTTCTAGAAAGTTCTCTAGTCCATGAGTGAGGCTCCCTCCTCCCTGGCTGTGTCTTTCTGGGAGGGTGTGCGCACACCGTCTGCCACTCAAGCTGCCGCCTGCGGCCTGAGCTTCAGACTGATGGGCAATAAGGCTCCGTTAAGATACAAAGCCTTTCCCCGGTGCTCTATTAATACTAATCAGCATAATTAGCTCATTGCAAAGGCCTGTAATCAGACTGCCTGCGCCGCCAGTGCAAGCCCGTTCATTGGAAGCCCACTAATTGAGAACTTTGCCCGACTGCGACTTGAGAGAACTCTGTTATCTGTGAGTCTTGCTGAGTGAAAACATTGGAAATCTTTCCCCGAGTAAAAGTTTAGGGCCCTCTGGGTAAAAGGAATCCAGTTTAAAATGAGTCCCTTTGGCAAATAAAGGGTTCAGAATACTAGTGGGGGCAGGGTGGGGTGGGGTGGGGCAAGGCTTCTTTTGTCCTGGATGGTTTCTGGTTCTCTCTCCACCGCAGGGACGTTGGGTATTGCCACCTTTCACTCTGCTGCTTCCTTTATCATCTGAACCACAGTCTGTGCAGCGTTTTAAGAATCTGGAAAGCGGATGTTTCGCTTTTAGACTGGCCTCTCCTGTCATTCGCCCCCAAATGTTGAAACTAGGGAGGTTTTCCTTTCACAGCCTTGTGGGCGGTGAGTTTCTCTCTCTGTCTCTCTCAAGACTTTCTCTGACGAAGCTATCCAAACACCCTGCCCCTCGAGCACACTGCCTCCCCAGTTGTGGCATTGTGCTATCTGACTGATGAGCCCGGACATCCAAGAGTGAGAGAACCCCCAGCGGCCTGGCCTCCCATCTGTCTCCCCTTACAGAAGTCCCTTGCCCGGGCTCTGCGCCCCCTGCTCTTTGTTCTCATGAATTTGTGACAGCAGAAACCCCAGTACGTGTGAAGAAACGGAACTCGGGGTTCTCGGAATCCTCGAGAAAGAAGAGCTGGTTGAAGGGAGGGCTTGTCAGTCGGATCACACTGAGACAACCGAAGAGTGAAATTGGTTGGCAACAGGGAGCTCACTGGCGACCTTGGGAAGAGCGATTTCTGTGGCGGGGTGGGAGCTGAGGCACTGAGCCGCGTGGTAGGATTTCACTTGGGCCTGGGGCTGCAAACACACTTGCTTTTGATTCTTCTCTGTCTCTCTCTCTCTTTAAAATTATGAAATTGAGCTGTTGAATTGTGTCCCTTTCTACTTCTAATAAAGACCACTGGCATTCACTTGTGTCCTGGTCTCGTCCATCTTGGCTCACAGCTGACACTTGTCTCAGACTTCCATGAGGCATGGATGGTTGGGGACCAGATAAGGAAACAGCCCAAGCAGTTTAGGAACTGGAAGCAGAGACGCTCTAGGTGCTAAAGTTGTCCCCAAAGTGTATAAGATGACCTCGTGACCCGTCCCTCTGGGATGCGGTGAGTACGGTCTGTCACGAATCATGTTAGCACCTTCCATGTCACCTGACTCCTGGTTAGTAACAGAGGTGTCCATGCTTAGAAGGGCGGTCTGCTCAGTTTCAGAGCTGGGGGAGGGGGAGGGAGACTTTGTTCTGAGGTTGCAAGGGTCAGGGAGTGTTCAGAGGGCAGTGAAGGTGCCAGCCACCACATGGAGGAAGTAGATTTTAGCCCCAAAGGACTCCCAGATGTTGGTGTGCAGTGAGAGGAGGCCTGGGAGGTCGCTGGCACAGGCTGTGCCAGCCCCCAGTGGTGAAAGCGATCTGTGGTGATTAGACCGTGGCACCTTGAATGAGATTTAAGGCCTCATTAAAGGATTCAGTGTGCAAGCTAAATGCCAAGGACACCAGCCAGAGCCTGGCATTTCATTCTTGTCCCAGGTTGAATTGTTGAGTGATGCCAACCTTCTGTGGATACTGGAAAGGCAATGGAGGCTCTTCAAGCAGTCCCTAGCACATTGACGGGGCCATGTTCTGAACATGGTTTTTGAACTTAGGCCCTTTTCGCCAGAGACCAGCATTCCAGGTAGTGAGTCAGGGTCCCTGGATAACCTATGCAAGGAAGCTGACACATGAGATGGCCCC